AAATAAGGTCCAACAAAATCCACTGGGTAAGGAATATGAGTTTGCCAATATCCAAACAGGTCAACCCAGTTCCCTGTTTCAACTTGAATGGGACCAGTGATTTCTTTATGTTTTATTAAGATTAAAGTCACATAACATAAAATTCACCATTTCAACCATTTTAAAAGTGTACAGTTCAAAGGCTTTTAGAACAGTCAGAATGATCAGGCACCTGGGTGGCTCAGTCGGTTGAGCGTCTGGCTCTTGATTTCGGCTCAGGTCATGATCTCAGGGTCACGGGATGGAGCCCTGCATCAGACTCCATCCTCCGTGGGGAGGCTCCTTGACTCCGCACAGTTGAAAATCTATGCATATCTTTTGACTCATCAAAAACTTAACTATTAACAGCCTATTGTTGACTGGAAGCCTTACTGATAAACAATTATCACATATTTTGTATGTTATATACATTATAGACTGCATTCCTACAGTTAAGTAAGCTAGAGAAAAGAAAACATTAAGAAAATCATAAGGAAAATCCATTTACAGTACTGGACAGTATTTATTTATATATAAAAATCCATGTGTAAGTAGACCCATGTAGTTCAAACCCAGGTTGTTCAAGGTTCAACTATATATTCTAAGGGAATGGTTCAGTAGATTTCCAGGAGACCAGGTGCTGACTAGTCCTGGTTTTAGTGTTAAGTCTAGACTGCCATTCTGATAGGGCATAACACTGGGCTCTGCTTGGTTCTTGTGTCTCTTTTCTGCAGGGTAGAGCACTTTCACCATATTTTCCATTTCCAGCCAATGCTTTTATGGAGTACCACCATTTCAAAGTGTGGGAAGTTTGCTGAGAAACAACTGTTTTTTGTTTTGTTTTGTTTTGTTTTTTAGAGGGAGAGGGAGAGCACTCAAGCTGCAAAGGTGGTGGGGAGGGGCAGAGGCAGAGAGAGAATCTCAAGGAGACTGTGCTCAGCATGGATCCAGTGGCAGGGCTCATCTCAGGACCCTGAGATCATGACCTGAGCCAAAATCAAGAGTCAGATGCTCAACCGACTGAGCCACCCAGGTGCCCTAGAGAAACAACTGTTTTTAAATGACAAGGAAAAAGGGGCACCTGGCTGCTCAGTTGGTAGAGCATATGACTCTTAATCTCAGGGTCGTGAGTTTGAGTTCCACGTTGGGCAAGGAGCGTACTATAAAAAAAAACAACTAAAAAATTTTAAAAAGTAGGGGCACCTGGGTGGTTCAGTCACTTGAACATTGGACTCTTGGTTTCTGCTCAGGTCGTGATCTCAGGGTTGCAAGATGGGGCCCCACGTGGACTCTGCACTCAGTGTGGTGTCTGCTGGAGATTCTCTTCTTCTTCCTCTGCCCTTCCCCCACTCACCCTCTCTCTCTCTCCAATAAATAAACAAATAAAATATTTAAAAATCTGTTTTAAAAAATAGCAGTAGTTAAATGACAGGCAAAAGAGGAAGGGGCATTTGTGTTTTGTGTTTCAAGTCCACATGTCAGTAAAGGATGATGTTTCCTTCTTTTCTTGAAATGTGGTTTCCTCTTGCATGACAGTTAAGAAGAAAAGCTTGGCTTCTGGTTAGAATGGGTAGAACCAGTGTAAGTGCCAGGGTGTGTTTTGGATGGCAGCTTGGTGAGAAGCAGGTGGCTCAGCCAAAGGAATTAAATGAAGAGGGTTTAACAAAGAGACTATTTATACAGGTGTGGGGAGGTAAAGGGGGCTCTGAACCCAATTCTAGTGTGTGAGTGAGGTTTTTTTCTCACCACCAAGTGAGACTCCAACACCATCTGGGTGCTCTACAATTCAACTCCATCGTGATACTATCTACCTGGAACTAGCATAGTGTCAGATTCCTTAGGTGAAATGGCTCAGTCCCACAAGACTGCCCTCACCCCACCTCTGAAGCCTGAAAAACCCAGGTGGTCCCCATTTCCCCTTGAAGTTTGATTAATTTGCGAGGCTCACAGAACACAGAGAAACATTTTAATTACTAGATTACTGGTTTGTTATGAAAGGATATGACTCAGGAGCAGCCAGATGGAAGGGATGCACAGGGCAAAGTGTGGGGAAGGGGCTCGGGGCTTCTCCGCCCTCTGCAGGTGCACCACCCTCCCCAAATCTCCACATGTCACCAACCTGGATGCTCCCTGTACACCATACTTTTGGGTTTTACACAGGCATGTTTGATCAAATCATTGTCCATTGGTGATTGAATGCAATCTCAACCCCTCCTCCCTCCTAGGAAGTCAGGGGTGGGACAGAAAGTTCCAACCCTCCATTTGTGGTTGGTTTCCCCTGGCAACCAACCCCCATCCTTAGGTGCTTTCCAAAAGTTACCTCTTTAACATAAACCCAGTTGTGGTGAAAAGGGGCTTGTTACCCATTTCAGTGTCTTGTGATACTGTCCTTCAATATCACAAGAGACCAAATATTATAACAAAAGATGCTCCTATTGTTCTTATTGCTCAGGAAATTCCAAGGGTTTTAGGAGCTCTGTGCCAGAGCAGGATGAATGCCAAATATATATTTCTTATAAATCACAATATCACAGCAGAGCTAAGGGAAACCAAGAAAGGATGGGGAGAGGGGAGGGAGGGAGTAGCAACAGGGGGTAACTCTTATCAGTCCTTGTCTTAAAGGGGCAAGGGGATGGAACAGGTATAGGAACCTGGAAAATGCCTTGCCTGTGACAGAAGAATCTAACCACTGCCCAAATGTGCAGTCCCTGCAGGGAAGGAGGAGCTTGGAAAATGAATATCCCCATCTCTCTCTCCTCCAGCTTTATTCCTTCCTTCTACAGCTACTGTTGGTCAAAAAAGGTTGGAAGACAGAGCACAAGAGAAGCCTGATAATGCAGTCCATACAGGACAACCTCCTTGTGCACAGAGCAGGGTGGAGAAGGATGGAAAACAGATTCTTTCACAATCACCCAAAATGAATTGTTACAAGCTTGTTAAAGTTTGAGAAGCAGCCAGACCCTATGGAACTGTTCCTTAAATTGGGCATTTGCTCCCTTGGATTGTGGAACCCTACCCCTAACCCTAACTGACTGGGATTCTGTTATGGTGATGGTCTACTGCTCCATCAAGGAGAGGTGAGATAAACAAGTAGGGATTAAAGAAAAAGATCATCAACGGATTCTTCCTTCTGACGGCTTCTGCTTTTGTTATTTCTTAGCTTGTTCATTGTTTCATGGACCACTCTACTGTCTATCTGTGTCCCTCTCTGGGATTTTGCATTCAGACTCTCCAAGAGAGAAAGAAACAAGCTGAATCGATTGGCCAGTCAGCATCCAATATGGAGAAGTACTCTAAGGTAGATTTCTCTGCTTGGGCCACCTCATAGATTGTTGGTGCCGAATGGACCAACCCATGGTCCCATCAATTGTGGTTAGAAGGGGAAATCACATGGTTCCATGCCTGACAACATGTGTGTAAAAATCATCTTTCAGTCCACTTTGTGATGTGTATCAGTTAGCCTTAGCTGTATAACAAACCATCCCCAAATTTCATTTGCTTAAAATAACAACTATATTATTTTGTTCATGATTTTGTGGGTTGGTTAGACATTCCTTCTGGTCTAGTCTAGCCTGGCTGGTTTCTGATGAGCTCGTTCATGCATTTGTGGTCAGTTGGTGGGTTAGCTGGTTGCCAGATGATCTAGCATAGTCTCACTCCTCATCTGGAAGGCTGGCAACCAGAGTGGTGGATTGTTGATGAGTGAGCCTTGGCTCTCTTCCACATTGCCTCTCATCCCACAGTAGACCAGCTTGGGCTCATTCACATGATGATCTTGGGGTTTAAAGTGCAGCAAAAGATGGCAAGCCCCGATATGCAAGCACTTTTCAAATCTGTTTCCATCCTGATGGCTGTTGTTCCAGTGGCCAAAGCCAGCCACACAGTCAAGTCTAGAGTCAGCATAGGAGGACTACACCCCAAGATAGGGGAATTCTTACATCTGTTTGTGCAAATATCCTGTCACTTGCAGAATTAGGCTGTGAGCACATGAAATGCTCAAAATTTCAGGGATTTCTCTTGGATTCAGGAATTTCAGTTTAACATTCAAACACTTTTCACTTCTGCTCAGCTGACAGTGATAGGCCTACACCCTCTTTCACTTGTCATTCAAAAGCAACATTTTGAGTATCACCTGGAACAAATATTTTGAGTCTTACATGGAGCGGCTAACTGCCTGCACACCATATCTAAGTGATTGAATATTTTCTTGCATTGACTCTAATTAATTTATAGAATAAAAGAGACACCAAAAAAGGAAAATATTTATGTCAGGGATAATAAAGCTATGCCTCATAAATGCAACAAAACCAAGATAAGGAGTAAATTACTAGGTTTGTATTTGGACTTGTTAACCTAGGGTTTTGTGGGAAGGGGTGTTTGCCATATTTGTGCTGGCTCTTACAAAGATTCTTCTAATATGAACAAGAAGAAAATTTCAGGACACCATGCTAATGGGACCAATAAAGAATTTCATCAGCCAAGTAGATAAGTGTAATTATGTTGGGTGACCCTATCTCAAAGTCCAAGAATATGGATATGTTGTTTTCCCAAGATGGTAAACTGAGAAGTGATACCTTAATAGGGAAGTGCATGATACATAGGAACACTGGCACGGTGGGATACACTCTTTCACAGTCTGGCCTTCAACTCTCTTTCTAAGAAGTTCACCAACTAAAGGAGGCTGCCCAATGTTGGATCCATTTTCTTGATGTAGATAGAAGTTGGCGCCACTCTCCATTAGGTGATTTTCTGTACTGAACACCGTCAGCATTTTCAAATTCACTCTCTGAGGCACTTTAATATGATCCACCCTAATGTAATGCACTATTTAAGTTGTTCACATGAAAAGAGAACTAAGGGACTCTGCATTTTGCAAACTGCCCAACCAACACCCTCAGCCTTCTAGTGCACTCACAAGATTCCTTGAGAAAGTGGAACTCAAGATAAGAAGTGATGTACTTCCTTCTTCATTAGCTTTGAGAAGCTACTGGACTGGGTAAGAAGCAAGAACTTTTCATCTTGTGGGTAAGAACTGATTAGTGTATTTCAAGAGAAAATAGAAAATGTTTCATGTGTGATCTTGGGTCTAGAAAAATGTCTGGTACTATAAAAATGTTCAAGGGGAACTTTTATATGTCCCGTTGCTTTGTTTTTGAAAACTGCTATATGGGCAACATTTTCTAGCTTCTTCTTGGGCAATATGTGTATTATGTGGTGCAGAACATACTGAAATGCTTTGGCATTCTTGACAGAGATGATGCATTGTGTATTAAGAAGCTTAAGGTGAATTAAAGTACAGGCATACCTCGTTTTATTGTACTTTGCTTTATTGCACTTCACAGATACTGCATTTCTTTTTCTTTCTTTTTTTAATTTTTTTTACAAATTGAAGGTTTATATCAATTAAATCTACTGGCACTATTTGTCTGACAGCATTTGCTCACTTCGTGTCTCTGTGCCACATTTTGGTTATTCTTGTGATATTTCAAACTTTTCATTATTATTATATTTGGTGATTTGTGATCAGTGATATGACTCTCTGAAAGCTCAGATTATGGTTAGCATTTTTCAATAACTAAGCAACTTTTCATTACAGGATGTACATTTTATTTAGACCTAATGCTATTGCATACTTAATAGATTACAGTATAATGTAAACATATTTTTTATATGAACTGGGAAACCAAAACATTTATTTGACTCGCTATATTGAGGGAACCAACCCTGCAATATCTCTGAGGTATGTCTGTAATAAAGTTTCAAGAAACAGAATCTGAAGCAAATGTAGCATAGAACCAATTTGCTATTAAAAATGAAGAAAACAAGACCTAGAAAGAGGAATAGGTTTACAGAGGTTGCATGGTGAATTGACAAGCATTGTCACACACCACATGCAACACCTCCATGATAAACCCATCAGTACAGTTAAATGCAAGGCTCGCTGTCAAAGGATTGTATATTTTATTCATGGCCAAAGTGACTTACTGTAAAGGTCAGTGTTTTTCCAGCTGCAGTGACCCACAGGCGAGGAGCAGGGTCATGAAACCAACTTGCTGGGTAATAACCAGCATTTTAAAATAAATTAAAGGGAGTATAATCATAAAATATCAAATGCAGCATATTGATTTGTGAAACTTGGTTGAGTTCTCTCTCTCTCTGTCTGATGTATTTCTTACCGTGTGTCATGGTCAAAAATCTCTCCAAGTCAGCCTTGCTAGATATGTAAAGAAAGCCAGACACAGAAAGACAAATATTGTATGTTCTCACTTACATGTGGAGCTACCGCACTCAAATTCACAGAAGCAGAGGGTAGAATGGTGGTTGCCAAGGGTTAGGGGAAATGGGAAATGATGGTCAAAGGGTACAAAGCTTTGGTTACACAAGATAAATAAGTTCCGGAGATGTACTAGACAACATGGCACCCATAGCTAATAATACTGTAATTGTATACTTAAAATTTGCTGAAAGGGTAGATCTTACGTTAAATGTTCTTACTGCACACAGACACAACTAACCACAGGGGAGCAGGAGGAAACTTTGGGAGGTGATGGATATCTTTATGATCTTGATGGTGGTGATGGTTTCATGGGTGTGTACTTATGTCCAAACTCATCAAGTTGTACACATTGAACATGTACAGCTTTTTACATGCCAATCATATCTCAATAAAGTAATTTTAAAAAGCTAAAAGACCAAATCAGCATTGCTAGAGGTCTCGGCACTTCTGAAAAACATTATCCCCTCTTTCATGTAAAATACTCACTTTAGTTAAACCAGTTTCCAAAGAGGCCTCTGAATCATCCTCATCTAGACACAATTTCTTTTTTAAAAAATTCCTTTAAAGTAATCTCTATACCCAGCATGGGGCTTTAACTCACTACCCTGAGATCAAGAGTCACATATTCTACCTACTGAACCAGCCAGGTACCCCTGGGCACAATTTCTTTGCAGTATATTCTGTAATAGGTTTTTGGAAGAGAAGAGAACCAAGAATCAAAACAGGGAAATGTATGCTGAGAGAGGGGAGTGCATCCAGGAAGTGACCAAGTATAAGTCCTCGAAGATGCCCACATACAGATTTTGATTTGCAATTAGGCAGTATTGTCCACTGCAGAGATTGCAAGCTGGTGGCGCAATGGTTCTGCATTTAGGGAAAAAGTTGAATTGAATATCTCTAGATAGAGCCCAGGGTTTTCAGTTCTCCACAGTCCTCCTTGCTTCTCCAAAATGGCCTTGCTTATTCTTATTACAGTTTTGCACCTAAGAGGCATTGGGGCTTAGGATCTTGGTCCTGTGGTTATACGCAGGCTTTGGATCCAGCCTGACTTTTCCAAATCTTAGCTTTGCCTTTTCCTAGCAGCATCACCTGGAGGAAATGATAGAATTTCTTTGAGTCTCAATTTCATCATTTGAAAAGTGGGAAGTTATTATTCGATCTACATTAATAAGGTGATTGTGAGCTTTCAATGAAACAATAGTGTCAAAGCACTTAGTAAGGGACTTGGCCCACCACAGAAGGTCCATGAATGTTTTTAGGAAGTGAGAATAGAAGGCTAAGAGAAGTATCCGTAGCAAAATTTGATTTACATGCTAGATACCAATACATAATGTGTGACTAGCCTGTTCAGGCCATCGGGAGTAAGAGATTTTTCTGGGATGGGATTTCTCAGGCCACTACTTTGTTTTGGAGGGAGTTTCACAGGACCCTGTTAATTCTCATCACCACTTGATAATGGATCAGTCAGTCCTTAACACACAAAGTCATGGTTATAACTGGAGTCAGGAAAGAGGAATGGGAGACCTCCATGGCCACCACTGTCATCACTGTAACTACTATCTCCACCATCACCACCACCATCA